TGCTTCCATTTCACAATAATAGCACTTACAGTTGACTGGGGCAGAAATAGCAGGGCAAAATCTCACCAACTGACTTGGTGGCGTCCTACGACAGTGCCACTTTAATGTCACTGAGCTCTTCAGTACAATCTGCCAATGTCTGTTAAAGGAGATTGCATTGCCGTGGGCTTGATTGGTAATGAGTGCGGCTGAAACACCTGAACTCAGTCACATTTGTAATAAATGACCTGTTGAGTTGTAGAATTTGAGATTTCACGAATCAAATTGAGTGATTCTGAGATGGACAATGATATCAGAATCTTATCATCATTGGCATATCATTACAGAAAATGGTTATGAATATGCTGCATGATGTGTGATACATTGTTTTGCAAGATTTGAGCCCAAAATGTATTGTGTTTGGAAATCCATTCGTGGCTGAGAGGTACATGCACGTTGTTATAAGGCAAAATAGTGTCCAAAGAATACTTTTTTTTAGGTTTACCACTATTTCACCATTTTTAACATTACATGGAGCAACTCAAAAGATGTTTGGTTTTATCGCTTGATTTGGAAAGTAAATAAACTGGTTATATTTGTCCTGTAAACATCTCAACCCCTGATTCCAAGTTGGTAAGTTGTCAAACCACTCTGATTTTGTTTATATCTCAATGACTAAGATATGCAAAAATTTGAAAAAAAAAAACAACAAAAAAAAAACGTGGAGTTCACCTTTATCTCCTTCAAGTGTTTTCAATGTCAAGTCAGATCATAACTGCAATATTGCAATATTTTGTTCATATCGTGCAGCCCTGTACTTACACCGTCCACTGAGGCTGTGCTGCCCTTAATGTCGGTTAGAGGTGCCTTTCGTTTGACTTGCTCCACTCTTTGGAATGGAAATCAACTTTAGTTGGCAGTTCAACGCGACACGCTGAGAGAAGACTTTGGCTTTAGTAATGTGCTCCTTGGCCTGAGTTTCTTGAGTCTGGGGTCAGCAGGTAGAAGAAGGACAGAGTTTAACAGAGAAACAGTCTGAACTCGGTCTGATCGTGGAACAGTGGAGAAGCAGAAAGGAGCTGGCAGGGAGTCTGAGGAAGTGACAGTGACACTCGATCTGTCCTCATGTGGGACGGGGGCATGTGATGTCGCTCCAAGCGATGTTCTGCTGTCATAATTTACCCATGCTGTGAGTCACCTGCTGTAGCAAATCAGTTAGCAAAGAACCAAAACATCCCGTACAACCATATGACCCAAGAATGGTGTAATACTGAATATTAGAAGATGCAGTCCATTCAAACCCAGCTGTTACAGATACAAACAGTCATATGTAAGTTTGGGGGGACTGGCCAAATTACAACCCCATTTCCAGAAAAGTTGGGACGCTGTGCAGAATGTTAATAAAAATAGGGTGCAATTATATGCAAATCATGTAAACCATATTTTTAAAGGAAAAGACAACATATCCAATGTTGAAACTGAAAAATGTTTATTGTTTTTTGAAAAATATGCCCATTTTATATATGTTCCAGAAAAAGTTGGGACGGGGCCTGTTTACCACTGTGTTTCATAATGTCTTCTTTTAACAACACTCTGTAAGCATAGGGAACTGAGGAGACACTGCTGTAGTTTTTGAAAGTGAAATGTTTTCCCATTCTTGCTTGATACAAGATTTCAGCTGTTCAACAGTTGGGGGTCTCCTTTGCAGTATTTTTCATTTCATAATGCGCAAAATCGTTTCTGTTGGGTGACAGGTCTGGACTGCAGGCAGGTCAGTTTAGCATACGGACTCTTTTAATACGAGCAATGCTGTTATAATACATGAAGAATGTGGTTTGTCATTGTCTTGCTGAAATAATCAAGGCCTTCCCTGAAAAAGATGTCGTCTGGATGGCAGCATATGTTGCCAAAACATTTATATATCATTCAGCATTAATGGTTCACAGATGTGCACGTCACCCATGCCATGTACACTAATGCACCCCTATACCATCATGAATACTGGCTTTTGAACTGTGCACTGATAACAAGCTGGGTGGTCTTTAGCCCAGAGGACACAGAGTCCATGATTTCCAAAAAGAATTTCAAATTTTGATTTGTCGGACCACAGGATACTTTTCCACTGCGCCTCAGTCCATTATAAATGAGCTCGGGCCCAGAGAAGGTGGCAGCATTCCTGGATCGTGTTTTTATATGGTTTCTTCTTTATGTTTTAGAGTTTTAACTTGCATTTGTGGATGCAGTGATGAACTGTTTTCACAGACAGTGGTTTTCAGTCCATGCAGCGATTTCCTCTACAGAATCATGTCTGTTTCTAATGCAGTGCCGTCTAAGATCACAGCCAGCAAATACTGGTTTTTGGTCTTGTTCCTTGCATACAGAGATTTCTCCAGATTCTCTGAATCTTTTAATGTTATTATGTACCGTAGATGATGAAAAGCAAAAGTTCTTTGCTATTTTATGTTGAGAATTGTTATTCTTGAATTGTTGCACTATTTGCCCACACAGTCTTTCACAGAGTGGTGAACCCTCCTCATCTTTACTTCTGAAAGACTCAGCCTTTTTGAGATGCTTTTTTATACCTAATCATGTTACTGACCTGTTGCCAATCAACCACAAAGTGTTTTTTTTAGCATAACACCACTTTACCTGTCTTTTGTTGCCCCCGTCCCAACTTTTTTTGGAATGTGTTGTCAAATTCGAAATGGGCAAATATAAACTCGAACACGTGTACAACTAATAATCCTTCAAACACCAAAGCCAAATTTTCAGAGGTCAACAATGCAACTTTATTTTATTCGCCCCCTGTTCAATATTTGCAAACTTTTACTGGCAACATGAATAGACCAATCACTGCTGTCTCTGCCGTTGTCATGGTGACAACCAAGATGACGGATCTCCTGTATCCCAGCAACCACAACTTTTTTCAAATGTCAAAAGTATTAGTTTGTCTTCTGCTTCACTGATGGTATTCACATCTCCAAACGCAGCTCAAACTCTCTGTTCTCCTTTCGCTTTCCCAAAGAAAAACTAGCCCACCTAATTTTGCAGATTGTCCATTTCTGAGGAGCAAATGGCTGTCTTGTGTTAGCCCTCGCCCTCTCAGTTTGCCCACACAATACTGTGTGATGGGGGAGACCTAGCTAGCAAGCGGGAATCGGCCAAACTAAACTTGGGGGGAAAAATCCCGTAAAATAAGTTTGGGGATATCTAGCTTGTCAAACTATTTTTGAAGTCAACCTGATCTTTTTACCTGGTAAACTTATGTCCCTGGTCATATCAAGCACAATTCATCCAGTGTGGAAGGCTCAGGGTCCTCTAGGCCTTCAGAGAAGGCCTAATGATCACTGTATAAGTCTTTAATTTTTAATTAATATAATCATCATATCAATTCGTTCCAGTCATTTGTTAGAAATGGAAAACAGCGGTGGCTCTATACCAGGACTCTTTACTGAAGGAATCACTGCAAAACTGATACACGGTAAAATATATACGAATGTGTCTGTCACAAGTCTCAAATAAAATAGTGTCTGTGTTTAATCTAGGCCCCAAAATATTCATGTGTATCTCTGACAGCATAGCGCTCACATACTACTAGAATCCCATAGAGGTGCCAGATATTCAGCATTACCGTAGAGGTGTTTTCTTTCCCTTTTTGACAGTAATTTGACATTAATTGCCCAAACTGAAGACCTAGCACTAAAAGCCACAATTCACCACTGGATTCATCATACAGCCTCATTTAAAAGACGGCATTCCCGTTTTCTTAGGTCATAATGTAAGGACTTTTCCCTGCCTCTTCTGATTTTGATTATATTGCTGTGCAGCACAGAGGGGAAAAATAATACTAACCAATAATAATGTTTCAAACCCCCCTCCCACTACTGCCAAATCATTGAGAGAAAACACTCACCTAGCCTAAGCACACTTATCCCCTTGTTGTGGTGTCAGCACTGATCAGCACTTAGACCTTTCAGTGGTTTAAACCACCTTGGAGCTAAAAGACTTTCAATATGTGCTTTTAAGAATAGTTTGGAACGAAAACTGTCAAATCACTGTTTAGACAAACGCTGCTCTTCAGGGAAGACAGTTTGATGAACACAAAGCTCAGTGTTTATCTAAAATATACCCAAAGGATTAGCACATAGCTCTATCACGCTAACTAAACACTTACAGGAATTTTTTTCTTATTAATTGAAAAATAAGAAAATTTTAAAACAAGCCAAACTTTTGTAGCCCAAAACTGTCGGAGCTCAATCATCAGCTTACACGTGTTCTACTGAACAGCTTAGAGGCGACTTTGTGTTATTAACTTTGATAGTGTTCCTCCACCCTTCCTCCAGGGAAACAGAATACCACAGCGTCCCTGAGGGAAGGGCTCAAAGGGGAATTCCACAGAGTTTTCAGAATTTCTGCATCACTGTAATGTCATTCAGAGTTTGATGTGAAATGGTTCCTCATAGAATAATTTACAAAGTAAAATTTCTTCACAGTGGTGGTGACATGAACCAGGGGTCATGATGCCTACGAGTATAGCCATGTTGTCTTTTATCCAAAATGACTAGTGAATCTACGTCTTCTCAGTTTGTGTAACAATAAAATTGAGTTAAATCATGGTAACTTATTTTCACTTAGAAAACCAGCAAAACATAACTTAACCGAGGGTGTTCAAACTTTTTCATACAAGTTTATGTGGTTTCTGACACTTTCACTGTTATCTATAAAAACAAAAGGACACTGCATAGCTAAAAACAGTAGCATCCATACCTGAAGCCTGAATTTTGTTCATACTTTTATCCAATTTTATAGCTCTGTTGGCTAATTTAGCCTCGTACCTTCAAACAAACATAAGACCCAGAACATATCTTGGCTGATGGACTGCATTTGGCAAAAACTGAATAAATTTGGGGATTCAAAGTGTTTTCCCTGCTTATAGCTCACCTACCTCAAGTTATAGAAGTGTCAGGACAATGAGAGTGAATCTGAAAATCTGAAACATGGTGAATGAGCAGAAAAGGATGGCTCATCATATATAATATTTATTTCAAATAATAATTAAATAAGCTCTAACATCACAATCCAGAAAATGTGGTGGTAGGTAGAAAAGTCCACCACTGCAGGTCACCCTGCAGGATAAACACACTGTTACAGTATTGCATCTAATCAACACACATTCATTTCAGCTTCATTTACATAAAACTCACAAATCTCGGCAAAACCAGAGCACCTTAAAAATAATTCTCTGTATTTTTGGACTGTGTGTGTTTATTACATAATTCTGGCTCTTTTTACGTTTATAGTAACACATGTGATGTATTACTTTAATAGAGAGATAAACGTGTTGTGACCAATTAAAACATACTGGAAGATCCTGCACTGTTCAAAAGTCAGAGGTCACCCTTCTCAACATCAAATAAATATAATAAAAATGGGACTCCTAACAAAAAACCTGGTACACCACCTAACTGCCCCATCAGATAAACAGCACTTAAAGCTTTCATCTTTGAGAGAGAGGAGAAAATTAAGCTGCTTCAGATCTGAAAACATCCACAGGTATTTCTGTCCATCCTTCCACTGTGAGAAGACGACTCAGTGCTATGGGTCTGAAAGGAGGTGCAGCTGTTAAGAAGCTCTTACTGAGAAAAAGGAGACAGACACAACAAAGAAGCTGCTGGTGTTTTTAAAACAGTGAACTGACCACCCCAGAGTCCAGACCTCAACATCACTGAATGTGTTTGATTACCTGGATTTTGAGAAACAGAAAATGCAACCAACTTCTAAGACTGAACTTTGGAGGTGTGGAAAAATCTTCCTGCAGGTGTCTGAAAAGCTGAAAGTCTCCCGAAAAGAATAAAAGCTGTAATAAAGGCAAAGACTGGATGCATAAACACTGAACATTTTGATATCATATATAGTTGTTGACGCTGTTAAAAAATGACTGGCTTGTAATTAAAATTTCCTTTTTGGCTGCAAATCAAACACAGGAAAGGGTCTCTGACTTTTGCACAGTACTGTAAGTATAAATTCTCAAAGCGATTCTTTGAAATCTGATGCCAAATCTTTTACATTAGAGATCCAACCACTTGCTGGATTACACTGTTTTGGTCAGTTTGGGAAGCCCAGCTCAGTATTATTGTACTTCTTCACATCTGGAACATCTTCATCATGCACTTCATCAAGCTCTCAGCAAAAGTCCATCATTAAAACAGAAAAATCAGTTTCAGTAAAAAAAAACAAAAAAAATCACAACACTTTAACCATTTCTACAGACAGCAAGATCAGTTTATAAACAAAAACACAATACCTAAAAAGAAAAATGAACAAAATACACAGAACTGGGATTGTTTCTCAAAAAGCTTGTGTTCACGACAGTGTCGTCTGTAAATTCTCACATTATAAATATTCTATATATCTCAGCTCTTACTTTGTGCAATTAAACCCAAAGACATAAATAGGCAAAGACAATAATTAAGACATATAGATCAATCCTTAAAAGCTGCTTAAAGTCCAGAATCTCCAACCTGAAATAAAAATTTACTGAGAATATTTTCATCTGAAATTACTTCGTCCAAAACAGCTTTTCATATAAATCCTATTAACAATCAGCGATGATGATGAAAACATGACAGGAATCGACGTCCTATTAAAATATAGGCATTTCTTGGTGTGTTGAAGCAAATGACTATTTCCGTCCAGATTTTTGTCATAAATATGACAATGATTGGATAAGACTCAGCACAGACAGCAGTGAAAGCAGTGTGGAATGCAAATTCACACTCAAAATCCTTGCACACTGAGCATGTGTAGGTCCAGTGCTTTCTCAGTGCCAGAAATAAATAAAATAAACATAAATAAACAAAGTCAATTAGGCTCAACAGGCTCGACTGTGTAGATTCTTCCAGGTCCACTTTACAGCAGGGCTCACTAATTTCTAATCAAGCAAAAAAAGCATTCAGATAAGAAAGGAAGTAGACTGTGATTATATACTCCCACTCCAACTTTATAAGGTCCACTTAGCTTATAGTTGCACTATACTGACCTGTCCATGCTCCACCCACCCAAATTAAGTTCTTTCATTAGCCACTGTTGCGAGGTTGGACAAACTTTAAGTCCCAGTGACCCTTATTCATTAATAAATATGAGTGCAGATTTGACTGTCTCTAATGAAGTACAAAATACTCTGCTTCCGATTTATCAAACTCTCACACGACGTGGAAACAAGCAGAGATTTGAGCGTAAATGAAGAATCTGCTTCAGTGCGTGAAATCAAGCGCCAGCCTACCAGCACCTCATTTACAAGCCCTTATTCATGCTGTTTTGCCAATAAAACGACAATATTCAGTGGCTAGCGAAGGAGTGGCTGTGCTTGTAGGCGGAGTAGGCATTGCTCCCCCTACTGACCAAACTTTACAGCGTTAAAATTTATGACAACTGGAAAGAAAAGAAAAAAAAATAACATCTCAGTACTTCTGTACTGGGGTGCCATGTGCACAAATTCTTAGTATTATTGTTGTGTTCTATTTTTTTCTTATTATCAATATTATAGATGATTGTGATAATAGTTTTGATTAGTTAACCACAAATCAAGCATTTTTTTTTCAGGCTGCTGAACTGTTATGCTCAAGTTTACACACACACTCCTACAGAGAGTTTGGTTGTAGAGATACTGTCATGATCAGATTTAACTGTACATGACTTCGATGAATAAGGGCCAGTGAACCTAATGAGACACTGTAGCACATGACTCAATTTTCATCAAAACAGTTCATTCCTAACAACAATGTGTATGAAAGATCACATTAGCCAGGTGAATAACTCCTGGTCAGGCATACTATTCCACATTTAATTCACATTTGTTATTTATTTGCCAAATGTGTTTCCACCGCATTTCTTTTTTCGATTTTATCTGATATCTGCCACTTCAATTAAGTCAGTCGAAATATACATACAAAAGCATGGAAGGAAACACAGCTACTCTTAGGTCAGATCAGGCGTCAGATAATTGAGCTTACCATGTTAGAATGGTGGAAAATCTGTTGTCGTTTCCAACCTTCCAGGCGACACAACATTCCAGCTCAGTTGCATTTTAAACTGGAAACTCAACATTGTGTAGCGGTTCTGAACCCAAACCTTAATTCATTTGGTCACGTTCCGTAAAGCTTGCCCAACTTTGTAAGAGTTGCTATGAAAAAACGCATTTTGGGGCAGGACATGGATAGATCAGCTACAGACTGTAGCTCATCTGTTGCTGCACAATGGATGAATCCCCCTATATCCCCTTCATCACTGGTCAGGTTCTGACCACAGGACCACTGCTGTTGAGGAATTATTTGTTGAATCATTGTCAGCACAGCACTACCATGTCAGTATCACTGCTGGTTAAGAGTGAACAAGAGCAGCTCTGTGGTCAGAAACTGACCATTGATGAAGGACAAATAGTCTCCAACTGTACATCAGCAAGGTGGAACAACAAAGGAAGCGTTTGTAATAAATTGGCCAGAGGAGTAAATCGCATGTGTATACTGTCACCAGCCTAGAAGGAGCTTAAATTTTTACATGGGACGAAGTTGCTAGTCTACAGGATTCAGGCACTGGGAGTTTTGGATTAAGATGGAACTAAATCTGTCCTCATAGCTGTGTGAATAGTAATAACAATAATAATAAGCCATTTAAAGAGGAATCGAGTGGTTTGATACGAAATGCTTTTTCTACAGGAATTTACCAAGTCAGAGTCTCATGCTTCAGTTTTGAGATCAAGTTTTAATATAAACATTTTTTATTCGTTTATAGTGGAGATGTACATAAGAAAAGTATTTTTCAGATTTACCACTATTTTACTATCATCATTCGAATATACAAAAAAGCAAAAGACATGTAATTACATTTTGGATAGAGATTAAAACTGGTGTATGTCTCTTTGTCACCACCACTGTAAAGAAATCTGAGTCTGCAAGTTTCTCTGCAATAAACCATTTCATATCAAACCACTCTGAACGACTGTTTACATATAAACAATTGAATTATGCAGAAAAGTTGGTATTGTGGGTATGGTGGGATTCCACTTTAAACACCTCTGTAAGTGGTCTGTCACCACTACTATAGCTATCTAATAAAGTGCATGCTCAGTCTTCTCCCTCTCCTCTGACAGACATATGTTCATGTGTCATGATTACTAATTATGAAAAAAAAAAAAAAACATATGAAGCAATTCTGACAAAAATAATAGACAGCAATAGACTTAGCTAATGGCTGGCTGATTTGAAAGAAGAACATGGGGGGGGGGGAAATAAGAAGCAGCAATAGACACAACTGAAATGCTGCTGATATACCCAGTGCTGTTGTTTTGTTTTTCTTTTTTAGCTGAAATATCTGTTTTGTTTTCTTGCAGGAGTCATTCTGCTCTGTGCTTTTGAGTGAAGCTGTTGTAAAAGAGAAGCTCTAGTAGAAGGTCTCCAGTCTGAGTCCTTCTCTGTGTGCAAAAGTTATGTTCAGTGTGTGCAAACAGAGTGCTGCTTATGGTGTACTTGTCAGTTGTGTCAGTTTGTAGGTGTGGCTTGTATATTAAACATGCATCAGCAGATATGAGAAGTTCTTTTTCAGTTCTGGTTCTAATGACATATTTTTGCATTTGCCCTGCACACACTTTAACTTAATTAGCTGACTAGCTGGATCTGGAGGGGATATTTCACAAAGCAGGTCGGAAATATTAAAAAGGTACACTATGTAGGATTTGGGGATTTGGAGACCTCTCTGGTGGAAATGTGTAATTGCATGCAACGAATGGAGGAACATTTTATAACATGGGTTGTGCTTTGGACCTCCTTCCCAAGCTGATGAATCTGATTACTGCAACTGCGTTTAAAGAGTATTCTAAGAGTGAATTATCTACTGTTGTCATATCTTCATCAGCTTTATGTTGACTTCACATTTAAGACCTGAATGTCGAGCCATACCTTATTTTTGAGCCTGTGCCTCAATACATAAACCGTGCAACTTGGGTTTAAAAACTCCCGCAAAATCCAACCAGTACGGCTTGTGTAATGTATGCTAATAACAGGTTTAGAAGGCAGACATGAGCAATTTGTAGTAAATTTCTTTATTTTTTGTTACCTAAAGCTGTGTCTGTTGTCAGGTGGGAAATATCAACAGCTGTAAATATTGCTAATCAGTCATTTTGGCCACTTTAGGCTTGAACTTTACCAGTTGTACACAATTAACAAAAAAAGACAAATTATTTATCGCAATTATTTATACAGCAGTTAATTAATTAATCAACTAAAATTTCATGATTGTGAGAAGCCTAGCAATTAGGTTGTTTTCCCTAATGCTTTTTTTATTGTTTTTCTTTAGTTCTATATTTTATACAAGCTTTGCTTTCGTTTAGTCTGTTTAATTACATGATTGCTTATTTCGCTTGATTGTTTATATCGCTCTTGCAACAAAACAGTGTTTGCATAACAGTGTTACTTTCATAGGGTAACTTAATATAAATGCAAGGAAAAGCAAATATTTTATGTATGTTAACATAAGTTTTTAATTTCCACCAGTAGAAGGTTTATCCCCCAAGTAGTCCGCAGCTAACTCTGCTTTGTGAAATACTCCTCCAGGTGTTTTACAGCAGGGAAAACACTAAAATATGCAGGGCAGGGATTCTCCAGAAACACTAGAAGAAACGATCGTGTGCATGTTCACCCCATCTGATCTCTACATTAGTCCGCAGCACGGCTCCTTTGTGTTGGGTGTCTCCTCTTCAGGTGCTATGAGCTTCAACAGCGGTGGATCTCCGCTGGCTGGAGTGAAATAAACAGGGTTGTCTGTGCTTTCCTGTTCAGATGCTGAGGGCTCCCCCTGGTGGCCAGGCTGAGGCAGTGTGGGCTCCTCTCTGATCGAGAGAGGGGGTGCAGGGGCCGGTCGTTTCTGCAGCTTTGCGGCTGCTCTTTGGCGCTTCAGTTCGGCAAGTGTGTGGTGAGACTTCTCTCGGGTCATGCTGTCGGCCCCATCCCCGCCCTCCCCGACACTGGGGGTCAGTTGGTAGGATGCACTGCGGTCCATCCTGCCTCCGCCCCGCAGCTCCCCCGGTATGGAGGATGAGGAGAACGAGGGAGCACCACCGTTCCCTAGAGTGGAGACCGCATTACCAGATTCTCCACCACCATCTGGCCGCAGAACAGCACTGGAGCCACCACCGGAGCTGCCACTGGATCCTGCAACCTACAGCACAGGAACAATCAAGATTTAGCAGTGGTACATTTAGCATGGAACAATTTGCAATACTTTGCATATATCTGATAGCAAAAGAGCCCCATCTCTTATCACAGTATTAAAATTTATACAATCGTCTTTCGCTCTGGAGCTCTGAGGCAAAAATTCAGGCTCCAAATGGCTGCCACTACTGTTTTTAGCTATGCAACATATATCTTTTGCTGATTACAGTATGTCATACAGTGTCAGAAACCACATAAGTAAGTCTATTTGAATTACTTAACAACTCGACACGGTTTGAGGCCAGTGTGTAATGATTTAGGCATGCATTTTGCATGATGTTAATTGATGGAGTATAAGCTTCATTGTTAGATACTTCAGCTCCGTAGCTCCAGACCAAACATGTTTTGGCTGACTGACTGTATTTGGGGCAACAGGGAAAATAGAGTAAATTTGTTTTTTTTTTTGCTGTTGTCATTTGAGTGTATGTTTCTTTACCATAGCAGCGTGTTGTTTCAGTTCAGCGTCCGTCTGTCTGTCCTCGTCATCGTCAGCTGGTTCAGGCTGGCCTCCTCTCTCCTGCCACACCATCGCCTCCTTATGGTGCTCTCTTCTGTACAGACTACTGCGCTCATTCACACTCGTTCGCCTAACCACCTTACTGCTCAGAGAGAGAGAGAGAGAGAGAGAGGAGAGAGAGAGAGAGAGAGAGAGATATGTTGCTGTAGGAACTGCATACTAACCATCAAGCAGAAAAAGTACCACCTGTTTCAAAAAAATGACAATCATTTTAGAACTTTAGGTATTTTTGTAACACTGATCATGTCTACATTCCAATTATTATGATAAAATGAGTCATTTGCATTTGTAGCAAATACTTGAACTTTGAACGGTTAATATTTCAGAACACTAGGTGGTGCTGTGTACCTTTCTAGATGGGGAGGGTGAAGAAGTCACCCACCCTGTTCATTTGCAACAGCTCAAACAGCAGGACAGTTCACAGAGCTCACTAGCAATAGCTATTTTCAGTTCTTGCGAGTAAAAAGGCAAAAAGGGAAAAAGGGCCACAAAAAGAAAAGGGGCCACGTGGTCCCTGCAGCAACTTTATTTTATTTTGTTACTATTTTTGCTGACTCACAACAGAGTATTGCATTGAATGTTGAATTAAAGGTCCTGTAAAAGTGTAATGGCTTTAATACGTAAATCTTCATTCATACTATCTTATTTAAATGTTCTGTCAACTTTTTAAGGCTGACACAAAAAATGGCTATTTTTACTGTTTTATCTACTTTTTTGTTAATAACGTGATTTCTGAATACTGTTGTTGCATTTATTTTGATATGTAATGAAAAGGGCAGAAAATCCAGAGATTTTTAGTTCACAAACTGCCATTCTGAACAGGAATTGGAACAGTCATCATTCCTCTGATTAGCCAAATCAATAATAAGAGCTGTCAGGTTCATGTGGTAAATAATTATCTTAAACAATTTTAAATAATCATCATTAATTATTCTGTATGTTGCACTAGAAAATGTTTTTTGGCCATCGCTTCTTCTGCACTTTGTCATCTTGTTTGTACAAAGTCCTCACCCTCTGCTGCTGGCACTGGACGCTCGTCTCTGCAGTGTTCCTTTGTGTCTGTCCTGACTCTTCATGATGGCGTCATGTTTGTGTTTCAGCTCCAGCATCTTTGCCCTTACCTCCTCATCTGCACACACATCTGGAACACACCAATGCCAATGAGGTTACGCACACACCAACTGACGGTACACTAATCATTTCACTCTATGAAGAATTTACAGATTTTATTGATGCGTATAAATCTGAGGTCAACACTGTGTGACTCTTACCCAGTGGAGTTTCTTCTAGGACAGACTTGGTGTTTAAATTTGCCCCGTGAGCTACAAGGAGCTCAACCATGTGCAGCTGATAAAGAAAAAAACTTGGTTAAGCACTGGTCACATGAACTTGCAAAACAATAAATAAATCATCGCTGTCCAATGAATATCTCACTTTTAGAGGAGAACGCAAAAAAGCTCTTAACTTTTAATGCAAGTTTTAACACCAAGTGATTTTGGAACATTTCTATTTATCATGATATTTTTACACAATGTAGGGGACAACGGATGTGTTTAAATGATGCAGAAAAATAAAAACTGAAAAAAGGAGATACATTTTTTGAACAGTGGCAAAATAAAAAAAAAAGAATTTAAAAAGGAAAAAAAACTTGTTATTGCTGTTACTACTACTAACTTTATTATTTTTATTAATATTGATGATAATACTGGTATCATTATTCTTATTAGTGTACATAAGTACAATTTTTCATACATATATAGTAAAAGAAACAGCACCAATAATAATGACAATCACCTTATCATAATTATTCTTAGAGCTAATATTTATTTCAGATTTATTAATTATTTAAGCTTACCAGGATGACAATATGAAAGAAGTTCAGTGCAAAACAGCTACTTCTACCAAACCCCTTTAGGTCGGCACAAGATTTAAAAAAATGATGGAACCAGGTGAACTCTATAGTACCTATTACACTGTATTTTATATTCCTATAACTCTAGTATAACTTATGGTATTAAAACTATAATGATCTAGTCAACACTGGAAGTGTTGTTGTCCCCAAGTCACATTTCTTTTCTTTGAGAAATATTTTACCACAAACAAATGTGAACTGACAAATTAAATCCTGCTCTGTACTGTGCATCTCAATTTCAGTAATTATGTGCAGTACTGACCTGTCCCCAGCAGGCCGCAGCGTGGAGCGGAGTCCAGCCATCACTGTCCTTCTCCTCCACGCGCACTCTCTGCTCCAGCAGCAGCTCCCCCACTGACAGATAGCCGTTAGCAGCCGCAATGTGCAGCTACACAGAACATAGAAGACAAATTACTAAAACTTCATCAGTGGTGTAAAACAGGGGTGCACAACTCTGGTCCTGGAGGACTGGTGTCCAGCGGAGGTTGGTGATTTACCTGCTCCAACACATCTGTCTGCTATCTGTTAAATGCCAGGTTAAGTGGGCGTGTTTGCATAAGGAAACCTCAAACTGTGCTGGACACTGGCACTCCAGGACCGGAGTTGTGCACCCCTGGTGTAAAAGTTCATTAGTGCATCCATCAGAAGGTGGCCGTTTAAATGCATTGATTTTGGAATGTAAGAATCAGTTATAATCATTTATAATAACATACAATAAGGTATGGGACTGTTTTTTGGGCAAAATAAAAAAAAAATCTTAAAATTGAATATTTATGAATATTTTAAGACATACATAGAAAACAAAACTAATCAGTGTTTCTACTGTCTACATTCCAGTAATGTGTTAATAGATTTTGTGCATTCAGTTTTTCCTGGGAATAATTCTGAATAGCGAAATTTGAGATTTCATGATGCACTACATCATTTTCTAAAAGAGAATTATGGCCCTTCCAGTCTTTGTAGTTGTCTCTCTCTGTCTCTCACCAGAGTAGCTCCTTGCTCATCCGCGGCGTTCAGGTCAGCTCCTCTCTCTATCAGCGCTCGAATGTCCGCCAGCATCTCTCTCTCCTTTGTCCCGCGACACTCGTCAATGCGCTCCTGAGTGATGCCTGTGGTAAGCACACAAAGGTGCAGCAGTCCCTTAAAAAGTCTGGTAAATCGATGCGAATGCAAGTAATCCAGTAAAATTTGTTTGAAGCAGACAGGCTCTCCAACCTAAATACATAAATATATCTGCATCAAAATGAATGTGATTGGTGAAAACAGTAGGGCGGTCCCCAAAAACAGTTCTTGGGACCCAGAGCTTTGGCAATAACCAACAGCGAATATTCAAAGCTTTCGTCATGCATGCCTTTCATATTTTTAGTTAGACCACCTCCGTGAAGCAGTGGTTACCCTGTGTATGCAATGTGCTGTTACCCCCTAGCCTGCCACTAAGAGAGAGTCTTAGTGGGTGGGGGGTGGAGTTTTGAGAAAGTCATTCAGGAAATTTGTGTCTGAAGCCAGTTTTGAAAGCATATCTGCAGCTTCATCCACTGTAAAAAAACGAATCTCCAGGGGTGGTCTAGCTCAAAGTATGAAGGGCGTTCATTGCGGCCCTGGTAAGGGTCCAGTGCACCTGGGCGATGTTTGCAGCCACCCTGGAAAAACATGCTATCTAGCACCACATTAGCGTGACGTTCACAGCTGTGAGTGAGCGGGATGTCAGGCGCATGAGCTGAGATAGTACGTTTCCACATTTTAACAGTGCAATAAAAAGTATAAGAATGAGAATGTGCTGACCAAATGGGCTTTGGTGTACCTCAAAATTAAAAAGTTTTTTTTTTTTTGTTATTGTGTCTTTAACACTTATATATGTTAATTGCAGCTGTTCTGGTTGGCTGCCCTATATTGTGCTTCATTCAAAAAGCAGTCCATGAAGAAACACTCTTTATAATTTCCGTGTAAAAGGGCAGGGCTAAACTACGGTAGCCTGAATTGGCAGATATAAATATAAAGGAGTTTTTTTTTTATCAAAAAGATAATGAATTAAAAATAGGCTTTTTTGTTTTTGCAGCTTAGTTTCCATTTATGGAGTGGTATGGAATGAGAATGAATGGTACAGTTTAAAACATCAACAATGTTTACATACATTCAACTCTTAGTTCTCCGTTTTCCATGATACGGGTCTTAAACTGCCAGTCACTGGCTGACGAAGCTGTTACTCAAAATTATTTAAGTAAATAAGAGTTTCCGTCTTATTGTTATGCATTCGTGTGACTCATTCATTGCAAAACTACTTTCACTGACTTTGTGGATGAAGCAAGCAAACCACAAAGAATGACTACAACCTTCCTAAAAATAGAAGGAAATGAAGTCTGTGTTTAAAGCATTTTAGTGAATGCAGTGAAAGAGAATGGGATAGTAACAGAGATGGGAACAGAGTGATTAAACGCTAACCCTAACCCTAACCATTACAAATTAAAATGAAATAAAGGGTACACAAATTTGCTCACTAACCCTATGAAATGCTGTAAGGATAAACTGAAGTGCTATATGTGTTCAATTTCTTATTTGCTACATTATCCTCCTAGTTCTACTGCAAAACTAAAGAAGAAAACTTCTAACAAATATTTCATAGCTTATCAACTACTTTGGAATAAGAGTGAGGAAAGGAGGGGCTTTATTAATTTGATTTATTTGCCAAACTATTGGTTTAAGTTTTTAGTATGAACCTTAACTGGAGTAAGCCAGACTGGAGGATAAACTGACTCTCTTACGAGAGAACATTTGCAGCTTTAGCATCAGCATCATGACGATGAGTAGTAGTATTGAAGTGTATAAGTGAAGGTGACAGAGCTCAACTCACCCTGCTCTGCCATCACAACCTCTATCAGCTCCAGTGTGGCGTCGTCCTCACACAGGTCGTACGGCATGTTCCCATCCGCATTTACCGCCAGCAGATCCGCACCACTGTAAAAAAAAACAAAACAAAAAAAAAAACACGCAGAGATTGGTTCTGCTCAGATAAATAAAAGGTCTCTAATAGTAATATAACACAGTGCCCTATAACATAATTAACCCCCAAAATGACCAAGTACAAAATGCCCAAAAGTTGTCTAGTTTGAGGCTGTAATGTCATATTTGAAGACAATTTCAGATTTTACAGTTTGCCTGCTGAAAAAAAAATGTCCTCCTAAAGATGTTTCTGTCTTTGCTGTCTTTAGTCTATATAGTATATACATCCTATATCTTTAGGATGTTTAGAAATACTTGATTTACAAAAAAAAAAAATTTTTAAAATCACACATTAATCAACCATATGTACATTATTGCAGGTGTTGGTATATATAAAAACTTTAGCAAGGTGTTTAGCAAGTTGTCATAATAACTGTACACCAGACAAGAAGCGCTGTGTTGCGCCAGCAGAGTCTCTCAGAAATTTATGCACTCATTTACACGTTTTTATTTTATGCCTGTACACTGGGACAGCAGAATGTTTATTTAGGGATCCACAAAGCTTATCGTATATATCAGAGAAACTCACGCCTGTACGAGCAACTGGACGAGGTCGGTGTGTCCGCAGGTAGCCGCTGCATGAAGAGGAGTCCACAGCTCGCTGTCGCAGGCATTTACACTTGCCCCTGCGTCCAGCAGACAGCGCACCACCTCCACAAAGTTATCTATGCAGCACTGCAGAGGAGAGCATAAAAAAGGAAACATGCAGTTAGTTAATATTCCACTTATATAAACAACACCAAAGCTGCATCTCATCGTTTCAATAATCGATTAATTTATAAACTAGTAAGCACGATAAAGACTAAAGACAGGATAAAGCGGTGTTCCACAGGCTGATCCATTTAAATATGTGCAGCCTGACCATGTAAGCATCGTAACCAGGGCTGCCAACTTTTACATTTTTGTTAGACTGATTTCATTTTCTACCCATAAAACTTACCCATAAAATAATATTCTGTCGCATTAAGTGATTTGATGAAAGTGACAACAACATGCCTTCAAATGAGCAAAGAAAGCTGGTAGATTCTGCTTTTGTTCAGAACTAATATTCAGTTGACAGCTCTCTGCTGAACTGGTCAGCATACTCTAATGAGGGCAGAACACAGTCCACTTACAGAGAATATAGAATATAGACAGTTAAAAAGATTTAGTTACGGGTAACCAGTGGTTCAGCCGGTGGTGCTGATATGACTGGGCCTAGATTGGGCTTCTTTTTATTGTCCCACCCAAAACGATGCTCAAATACTCACATTTAGTTTCAATATTAAAGTTTTATGGATAAATAAACCAAAAACACAAACGAAATGACCTCGCAAAATCTATAACATGAAATTCCATTTTAACATTGACATCTAAGAGCTTCTCATCACTCTAGGAAACGAATGAGCGGTATGAGCAACATGGAGTCCTGCATTAGCAGCGACACCATCAGTATTTTGGAGATGACCGTGGGGAGGAGCGTTATGTGGGTTTAAGGATTAGGAGCGTGTGAACCCGGCGCTGCTGCTGGGTGCAACTTTGCTTAGGTGAAGTTGGATTTCTAAGCTAACAGCTACACAGTAAAAATAGACACAAACAGCATGTTTTTAAAACTGTTTACTCTTTAGCTTGTAAGACAGAACAGCGTACATGCTGCTGCATACACTAACTGTAACTAGTCATGAACATTGCTCATTATTGATCACGTTAGAGCATTCAGATTCATATGTAGGTCGTTTTGTAAAAATGTGTGAGAAACGCCATGTGTGGCTTGGGATAAGACTGAATTTTGCGAGTCTCATGGCCAATAGCCTGCTCATAGCCTAGCTCATAGCCTGCTTAAAAGCTATTAACTATAAACCTGGAAGGCCGACGTGTGCAGACACTTGCTTCCATGCTGAAATGTTCTGTGACAGGTCACGATTCCTTGAGCTCAGATACCAATAAAATTAGTTCATCTATGCTGGGAGTATCCACCAAATGGACAGACACACCTACTGCTCTCCTGTTGGCTAAGCTGGGATCTGAACTGTGTTTGACCCTGCGCATCAGCCTCAGTGGACTCTACACCTGTTGCTTAGCCCAGCGCAGTAAAGTTTTTGCATTTGTGCTGCAAATGACATTAAAAATCAGTTTGAAGATGCAGCTGTGAATTTTTCACAGCGTAAAAGCAGCTTATATTAAGTCTAACAGCTAGCAAACCTGAGCTGTAATTGTTGAAGAAAAAAGCATAAGCAAAAAACATCACTAACAGTTTGAATTCAGCAAGTTTGAGAGCCAATCTCTCACCTTCCTGGAAGAGTTCATGCTATTGTAAGAAAAAGCACCACTGCTAGCAACAATGAAAAGTATCTGTTTCACAGCTACTGACTGTGTAAATGTAAATGCTTTTCGTTGTGCAATTCCTATTCTTTTAATTTCCCTTTTGTTATTTTTGTTAAAGCTTGAAAAGCAATCAGGCATTGTTGCTCAATATATAATGGCTTTTCTTAAGCAAGCGACCAACCACTGCCTGCTCCACCTGTCTCTCTCTGTTTCCTGTGTCAGCAGACTTTTTTACATGGTAATCGCTCACATCTCTCATGTGGTTATTTTGGTGACCACAACTTTGCCGGCATAGACTGCAACACTATTTTACACACCAAAATGGGAACTACAAAAACCACTGAAAATAGGAAGGTTTGGACGACAGCTCTTTTTTAGCCATAAGACATTTAGCCATAAGGTACTTTTGAACAGTTCAAAATACACTCTAGAAACAGATGTGTTGGAAAACAACATAGTCTGTTGCTAACTAAATACATTAGTACCCCAAATATTATCAATGCCCACTTACAGATAACATGTTCTGTGTTACTTTTAATTTTTACTATCCAATCCCACTGAAGTTTTACACAGCTTTTAGTTCGTACTAAAAACAGAATAATTCTTTGTCTACAACGGTATTTAAAGAAAACTACCATACTTTACAACAATTCACTACTGTGTTTTTTCTTCTTTTTAGTCTTTTTTTTCTTTTCTTTTTTCATATATAATTTTATGTTTAGCAATAGCACACAAATATTTTGGACCCTAATTAAAAATAAGTAACTTGGTTAAAACAAAAATTTTACTTCACCGAACATGTCAAACACAAATTATTCTTCTGTTAACTTGACGTTAGAAGTTCAATTAACTCAAAAATTTAAGTCAACCAGGCTACTAAGTTTTTTTTCCTCCAGTCTTGTTTATTATATCAAACAAATAAGATACAGAGTGTGATAAAATTAAGTATAATGCAGTACAATGACATACTGAGAATTCAATAAAGAAAAAAAGCAACAATTTAAATAGAGTAAATAAGAAATATCAGTAGTACTGCAATCAATATTATTAACATTAATACCAAAGGCGACACAAAGGTACAGAAAGACAGTCCCTTTCACCATAACCTACTCCATTTCAGCACTGTAGCACATCCCCAATAGCCAGTTTAGTGTAATCCAAGAACTCACCCCAAACTTGATAAAACTTCTTAATCTTTTTTTATCTAAATAAGCTAATCTTTCAAGGGGGAGGATATTATATATTGTTTTATACCACTGAGTTATACTAGGTTGTGTAGACGAAGTCCAATTGACCAACATGCATCTTCTTGCAACAGCGAGGCACTACTGTGTTTTAAAAAAACCCTCTGTGATCTCGGGTGGGTGAGCGAAGAAGACCACTCGCTTGTCAGGAGCGCTGGACACGTGTTTATATGACGAATGCAGTTGTAGTTAACAGTACAAAAGATACAGACATTCTCTCTCTCACTCTCTCTCTTTCTGATATTTTGAACATTACAGGCTTAATAACTTTCATGCACAGCGATGTGCAATTCAGCAGTGGCTGCTTCGTGACACTGCTCAACTGCACGTCTGTATACACTGGCCATTTCAATGTATCACTTTTCTATATGATATGACTATGTAAACTATGTGTACAGTACATATACTTGTATATGTATATTTTTTCTCTATTTAGCTGCTCTCAGTATTTTTGTATGCATTTCACTTACTTGCACTGTGAACATAGGATCTGTTTTATGTTTGTTAGAATTTGTCACTGCTTCTTTACATTTTGTGCTTTTTTTTACTCAGTCCTTAGTATTTATGTAGTGTTTGTACAGTAACTTGTGGTCCAGAAGGTGGTGCAGAGTGAGAATTTTATTATGCAGTGTAACTGTCTTTTTCTCAATGCGTATGACAATAAATTGAATCTCTCTCAATGTGTAGTTAACATGAATAATTAAGAGCGCTTTGAAAATGTAAAGCACAAGTATATAAATAACTTTTGCTTTAGCACCAAACAATAAGACTAAATATATAGTAACAACAGTTACAACCAGTCCTAAGGAGATCTGAATACATGCACTTTTTTTATATTTGAAAAATGTTTTTTAAAACAAAAAGTTTAGTTAATGCTGAACAATGTTTCTGTATTTTTTCCATGATATGAGTATTATAAAGAACATTTCTTGAATTTTCAAGATTTCTGAGTGACATTTACTTCTGCTCTTAAAAGAAGTTATTGAATAATAAAGCAGTTATTGTGTGATTTTATGTTTTTAATTCTGAATTTGTTAACTAGAAGCAGCTGAAAGTGTCTGAAACACAGGATGGTTGTACCAGGCTGCTCTCTCTCCAGCTTTCCCTCCTACGCTATTCATCCTCACTCTTTTTTACCAGAATTACGGTGCGGTACTCTATTCGGTCTGGATAGTTTCAAGGCTGGGAAGGCTACATTCTTTCCTGAAAGCAATAACAACGTTCACTGATAACTCATGAATGGGTGTGTGTGCACTTGTACCTGGTGTAATGCCGTAAGTCCATCTTCATTAAACAGGTCTGGGCTAACACCGCTGTTCAGCAGCTCCCTCACTGTAACACACACACACACACACACACATTATATGTGTATGTACAGTATACATACACGCACACACAGACAAACATATAACTGGAATAACTAGTGATTAACCCCTTAAGACCTAACATGGGTGGCAATATGTTCACAGCATGTTATGTTTAATCTTTAATAACTTTACAACCTTTTGAGATATCAACGAACGTCTTTCCCACGTTAGGTATTGTGTTTCGTCCATCCTGCTGAAATGAAGAATATGTAGTCTACACTACACTGAGCAGTACTGCCCGTCCAACAACTGCTGACTGTGTTACAAAAAATGACCAAAGATACTGTTTTTATAATGAACATTGAAAATTTGTGTTAACAGGTAATACTGAGAAGTTTAGATTAATATTATATATTGTCAATATCATACATTTGTGTTATATTTTATGTTAGATCAGATAAATGGCCATTTACATAGACAGACAGGTAAGTAGTGGTTTCTGATTATTTCAGTATATATCATGGTGGAGTGTATATATATGCCCCTCACTTTTAAGAACCTTATTTAACAACTGAAGTAAATTTAAATAAATTTTTATTGTGCAAAATAGTAAAAACAGAACAGAACAACAAATAGATATATCTGTGGTGTATTCGCACATAGCAGCTTTTCTGGGCCCGGGCAAAAAAAAAGATTAAATATTGGTGTTAAATATTGTTCCACATCTAAATTTCATTTCATATGTACGATTCTTAGAGTTGAGTAAATATTACAGTCATTCACTCACAGAACCAGCTAAGTAGCGCCAGAGCTTTGGCTTGTTACAAGCAGCTCCAGAGACTGTGTCATTGTCTGATGCAGCTGACCTTTCGCTGCAGATGGTGTGACAGGAAACAAAGCACCACAAGCTGTCTGGTGTTCATGCTAGGCTAAAGGTTAACCTAAAGAGATCTGCTATTCCATCCATATGTCTCCATGTTTCTTTATATTCGTCCGCTCCCTCAACAAACCGCACATCAGACGGTAACCGGCTACTTAGCAGGATGACCCAGGAGAAACATCCCTGACTCAGCCATTCAGACAAATGGGACTCGTAAGCATATTTTTCACTCTTTGTCTGCTGCATTACCTGTGCTTATTTGTGGCATACCGGTATAAACGTTATGACAAGATTATGAGTCAGAGTCTGACTCCATGTTTGTTTTGGAATGCCCGCTTTTCACGCACCGCCAAATCATAAAGTATAAAATCATGCCCCACCCACAACTTAGAAATATGTCAGGGTTCAGTCCCAGCGCAGAGAAGAAGGCTTGTAATAGTTTGTGCCGGTACTGTAATGATGTCTCTCTGGTGCTGTGTGTACGAGGTAATTAGATCTGTCCTGTCATCGCTGCTCTAATGATGTGTTTATAACCAAAACTCATATTGCGATAACGATAAAAATTTATCGTGCAGCCGTAGTTAGCATTACACCATGTGTTGAACATGTTTTTTGAGTGTTCTATATAGCACCAAAAAGGGTTCTCATATCGTTACGATGTCAAGCTTGTAACAGAAGAACTCTTTTTGGTGCCCTTTTCAAAAAGAACTCATGGTTCTAAATAGAGATGAAACGGTTACCGGTTTCACAGTAAACCGCGGTAAAATTAATGACGGTTAGTAGTACCGTTTGAACTTTAAAGTATCATTAAAACCGCGGTCGATTACCGCGGTGTAAAAAACTCGCTGCACAGAATCAAACAAAGGCAGAATCATCTCTCAGACACAGCTCTGTGTGTGTGTAGAGGGGAAGGGGGAGGGGGAGGGGTAGAGAAGGGTGAACATGGGGGAATGTGTATATATATATATATATATATATATTTCAACCTTCTAAGAAGACCAAGTCTGACGTTTGGTCATGTTTTGGGTTTTATTAGGATGCAGAAGGAAAGTTAACTGAAGATGACCACCCTGTCTGCAGAACAGGCCGAAAGAAAATAGCTGCGAAAGGGGGCAACACATCCAACCTTACGAGTCATCTTCGCGACCACCACCCGCTACTTTTTAGAGAACGCAAGGTTAACTTTAACGGAGAAGTCTGTGGGGACTTTGAAACAGAAGAAATGTCATGGTCTGTGTGGTTTAACTTGTGCTTATGGTTCGTTAATAATATAAAATGAAGCTTTAAGCGTCAAAAAAAAAAAAAGAAAAACAATCGGTGAGTCAACTATGAATCGAAACTAAAGCCTTTAACACATATTTCTGTGGAGCAGAGTCTCCAAAATGAGCTCTATGTTAACAGTCACACAAGCTCCTGAACGAGACGCTGCAGAGGTTCAATCTGCACAGCTCCCCTTTCTCGCTTGCAGTGTTTACTGTCTGAGAAGAGAATTACACCGTCTCAAATCACAAACACGATCATCATTAACAAACAATTGAGTTTTAAATAGGGAATTTGTAACCTATTGTTAATATATTGTTGCTGTGATTAGCTAATTGTGCTAATTATTATTATTTACAACAGTAATAATAATAATAATAGTAATAACAGTAATAATAATACATTTGCTATTCTTTTGTTTACAGAGTATTGTAAGTAATACAAAATTAATACTACAAATGTATTTACTATATTTTTTTATTTTTTAAAGTGCATATTGCTGCCAATTCTATCTGTGTTAATAAAAAAGTTGGTGAAACGAGTTTCAGTTTGTGTATCAGTATTTATTTATTTATTTTACTTTTCAACGCTTTTGAACAATATCGCGATAATATCGATAATCGTGATCATTTTGGTCATGATAATCGTGATATGAAATTTTAATATCGTTTCATCTCTAGTTCTAAATAAAAAAACTGCCTGTACTAAAGAACCTTTGAAGAAGCTTTTTTTTGAGTGTGTGTGTGTGTGTGTGTGTGTGTGTAGCAAATGTTGGCTGAAAGTAGCTTCTTATTCGGCAGACTCTAAGTTTAATTTTCAGCTCCATCTTAAATGTAATGTTGCACCATTTTAGGTGTCAAATGCGCACAAGAAGAACTTCAGTTTCATGCTAAGGGATGGGGGAGTCGCTGGTGGGACCAGCATTTAAATGACACACTTCTTAATGTATATATTTGTATTCAAATGTATACAACTGTGGCTCATTTGTGCAGATAAATGTGGTCCCTCAAATTTGTTGTTAGACACTGTATTGATTTTCTGAGTAAACTCGCTTAGCTTCTCTTCCTACTTCCTACCTCTGGTGGTCTTACTCAAGTAAGAGTTCTATCTCCGAGCCCACTGCTGTCAACAACTACGGTACCTGTAGTTTACAGTATAGATATGACTGCATTTGATAGGTCAAACAAAGAGGCATAAGATGCTTTTGATTGATCAAACAAAGTCATGTAAGATGCTTATGATTGGCGAATAGAGCTATCTAAGATGCATTTGAATGAAGCACACAAAATGTGCACTGAATTAAAAAATATAGCATAGATGAATGTAAACCCCACAAATACTCAAGTAAGAGTACACAGTACCCCTCTTTTAAAACAACTTGTAAAAGTGCAGTTTAAGCAAATGTGAGGGAGTAAATGTAGTGCGTTGCTTCCCACCTCTGGTTCTAAACCAAATCGACTATTGTATGACCTGAATTAAGACCTGGATGTGATTTGTGTGGGTTAAGAGAAGTTTTGGGGATGTATTTGTGGAAATAGTTTGGGAGACTACTTACTTGTAGTGTTTGTTAGCAGCATTAGCCCTGTAGCCCCACTTCAAAACTAACAGACCAAACACTACACTGATGGACTGCATTTGGGGTAAGTGGAAAATCATGTAAATATGATTTTTTGCTGAACTATTCCTTTTTTTTATTTTCCATGGTATATAAGGTGTGGACCAAACCACACACTTTAATGTAGAAGCAAAAGCCACAAGGAAGTTGCAAAATAGCTCATGATGACTGGGTTAAAACTGCTCAAAAATGAGATAAGATGCAGGGTAGATATCTTTTGGTTTTGTATAAATAACCAGATTTACCTTCCTCCTTTTATTTGAGTAAACACACTTATGGAAAGTTAGGCAAACCTAATTTTGATGGACTGTCAGGACATTTGTTACACAAGTTTCTACAACATGGGACAAAAAAACTGAATAAAACAGAAAAAAAAGTGAAAAAAATGAAAAAAAAAGTGAAAAAATAAATAAATCATTTAACTATTTTATCCCTTTTCTGACTTACATGATCCTATAAACATCAGAGCCGCTCTCTTCTCCTGCCTCTAACTTTGTCATGTGTGCCTGATAGGGTTGTGGTGATCCGATACTCAGTATTGCACTCCGAGAATTCTAAAATACATCGGTTTGGAAATACCTGTATCTAGAGCTGGGCGATATGGCCAAAAACGTTGTCACGATAAACAAAATTCATATCGTTCGATATCGATACATATCGCGATAAATGTCAAATCATTATTTCTTTCACGTTTGAAGGCTGATTTTGCTCCTGGGTGGTTAATTGTGGTTTTAAACTATCACTTATGGTCCGATCATGACAAACACTCGGCAAACAGTGGAACATTTCACTAATCTGTCTTGGGGCAGTGGGAGAAAGTTTCTGAGCTGTTTTTATCAGCTGGAAAAGCACAGCTGCCATTTTTGTAATAGTCATGATTTAAGAAAGAAAACAGATTATTTTTAGCTGTCTGGTGTCGAGCGCTCGGCTACCCCGCTAACAAACGCTAAACAAGTGGCCAACAACAGTGCTAAACTCTTTAGTTTCTCAACAACGTCAACTCGGTTCGGGAGGTCACTGCTGTCACTCCTACCACATCCATGTCAGAGCAGATCACAGTATTCAGACACCAGCTAGCGACGGCTGGGTTTCGCTATACTATCGCAGTAGTTTAAGGGGTGGACCGCAGTATATCTGACGTTCGCTGTGTAAAAGCATTATCTGCAGTGTGAATCTCTCGCACCAGTCACAGAGTCCTCCTTTTAGGTATGTTTAAACTGAAAGCAGTGATTTTGTGTCTTGTTTGATCTACAGTATCATCAATTCTCCGTGTTTTGGAGTGACTGAGCGCTGCTTCAAGTTAGCCAGCAGCTAAAAACAGCTAGCCTGGAGAGACAGCGCTCTCCCGCTCTCCAATGCCTCACAGCTTCCTCAGTTTACTTTCGAACATGAACCACTTCTTTCTTACACTTTCGTTGCTTGAGAATGCACTAATACTAAAATATGACGGTTTGGCGCTGCAGACGTGATTTAACACCAATAAAGTTGTTAGGAGGCACGGAAAGAGGCGAGTTCGCTGTAGGTCAGTACAGATACGCCACTGACCTCGTCACTCACACTCGGTCACAGGAGAACAGATCGCCGGTCGCTCCGCTCAAACAGGGACTGTGTAACTCCGCGTTTCAGCCGTTGCTAAAGACTCATCTTACTCATGGCCCCCTCCCTCTCTAATCATGTAGAAAAACTCGGAAGTGCGCCCTCTCCTGGCGACAGCAGAGTAGTGTCGCTTTCCTTGCAGTAGAAAACGCCACCAGGGCTTTCGCTAAAACGTGGAAGTGTGAGAATGGTGTATTATATCGAACATTTATCGAACCTGTCTTATCGCTCTATTGAGGAAAAGTTATATCGCGATACTTATCGTTATCGTTTTATCGCCCAGCCCTACCTGGAGCAGTACTTAAAGGTCAGCAGACGGCAAAACTGTGGAACCTCGAGATAAAGTCGTATGTAAGCTACAGTTAGGGAACATCTCGATAATATGCACCCAAATGCGTCAGATTCAGTTCCACCTCAATTTTACGTTCCCCCAAATAAATCATGGTCACGGGCATGCGCATTCACGCAGCACTGAAACAACGGAAAGTGAAATGGGTAAGAAAGTCTTATACCCTCAATTTAATAAATACAATCGGCCGCAAAATGAAGATGTACAACTTTCTTGAACTTTTTTTACTTTCTGAAGCTGCAGTATTGTATTCTTCGTGCACACTCCAGAGGACGTGATTTGTGAAGCTGAATGTGAATTTCAAGGGCAAATGAATCAGACGCACTCGTGTTGTATCCGTTTGCCCTCTTACAGACATGATGTGCAAAAACAGATATTCAAATGGTTCGAACTTGTGTGTTTGTTAGTTTCTGTCTCCGACCAACAGTTAAAATTTTCAGGTTCCTGTAAAGTTCATTTTACCTGAATTAATAAGGACACTTTCACACCTATCTTGGTTGGTGATGACCTAACAAACTTTAGCTTGTTCTGATTTGACAGGTGTAAACGCTCGTTCTGTTGTTTGGTGCAAACCCAAGTACTGTGACCAACCAAAAATCAAGGGTCTCAGTCGGCTTCTGAATGAACCCTGCTCACTGCTGGTGGATATCCATTTGTGTAATGGTCCATGCCAAATGAGTGAAATCAACATTACACTCTTTACGGGAGCTCATATTGTTCTTGGAGCAATGGCACGAGCTGCTTCTAATAATGGCAGACCAGCAGAAAAATAATAGTTAAGCCATGCCTTTGATTTTGGCACATGGATTGCAGAACGCAGTGCATCAGAACATTTAAACGAACAAACGATAAAGACGCAAATTTTAAGTAAGGTTTTTTTTTTATTATTGCTTTGACTGTGACATACACAGACATTAAATGTCTACTTTCATGGAAAGTAGTAGTTTTTGGCTCATATGGTGACAAATCCGAGAGTAACAGAGCCCTTGGATTCCTGTAAAACTTCTGATCAACAACTTCTGATTACTAGCAAGTAACAAGAAATTCTTGTTACTTTTATGGTATTTATGTTTATTTGTATCTATTCTAATATTTTTTGGAGAAACTCAATAACAGCCAAAATAAAAGTGTTCACATTCAGTTTCTTGGTAAATGTTTTAAGCGAGAAGTCTGTGAAGTGCTTTTTGATGCTTTGTCAGCAAAATTAGATCCTATGAAGGGAATCACACTTCTTTTTTAGAAGGGAAATTAGAAATAAAAAAAAAAATCAACATAGACAAAAACAGAGCAGAACAGTTTTTTTACGTTACAGCTTTCTGAATACAACCAAGAAGCCATCAACAGATATTAGAGCAGCTCGATATTTACATAGAATGCAATGTGTGATAAAGATGTTGGATATCACACTGATGATACGAGAAGTGATAAAATTACTATTAAAATAATGTGTCTCTGGCTGAATGTAGTGTCTGTTTTGTAGTTGGCCGTTTGGCCGAATGGTTAAGTTACTCGTTTGAGATGAAGAGCCCGAGTATGAGAAAGTGACCGTTCCCTCTCACGTCTGGACAGCTCTCTGTTTTGAACATCCCGCTGATGACAAAAAGTCACCTACATGGGGCAGAACCAACCAAACAGTTTCATCAAGGTGATGTCTGATTGAGTTGAGATGATTTATGCTAGAAACGCTACAATCATCACGGTTTCCATTTTTGTAGATGATCGTTTGTAGAAATCTCAGGAGATGATAAACAATCTGTACAAACAACTTGAACTGCAATCCAGCAAGAGGCTCCAGACGGCCCCTGATATGCTGAACACAAAAATGCACGGCTGATCACCCATGTGGCACCTACGGCTACAACTACTACAAGTGTTGTACAGAGTCCAGCTCATGGGGACATCTGCAGCTCACCGATATAGAAAAGCAAAGCCAAAAGTGGACACTACTGCCATGCTAACTACGCCTGTGACAAATATGGTAGAAGTTACAACAGGTGCTACACTGATTACAGTGACACCCAACAAGCATGCTGCTCTCAGAACGACTGCCTTTCCACCATAAATGACAAAGCTCCAGGCCTGACCATCCCTGTGGCCACCATGCTGAGTCTTACTTGTGGTGCTGAACCACTGACGACAGCTGGGCTTACCGTTGCAAGAGCTGTTGGTACTATTAAAGCAGTCAGACTCCAACCACAATTCATGCAACACCTTTGTCCCCCCCCAGACAACTACCTTGAAGCACAATCCATTCACACATTAGATCAGATAGTGGAGCGCAATCTGCACAAAATATGCATCCAATGAGGAATCCGCCTGTGACAAGTTATCAGAGCGGCTCTTTACGGGTGGTGTTATGGGTGGGAGGCTCAACACCACATCACACTAAATAAATTACCTAAAGAAACTAGCACTCATTGCTTTTTTTGGGAGGATATAGAAGGATTTTTTTTTTGGGAATATGAAAGGACTTAACAGTATATTAGTATTTATGTTTAAGCTGAGTATTTTTAAAATCTCAAGCGCAAGCTAAAATGTCTTACTGCCTCTCGTTCAATTTGACCTGCCCTCTTTTTGGACTGGCTTTCTAGTGGAGCTTTACTGCTCAAGTTGAACATTTTTCAACTCAATCCACAATGAACTGCGGTGGAAAAATCTTTGATCCATGGTGAAAAAAAACAGATAAAGAATATCCCATTCCTCTAACCTCGCTAAACGACAAGATGTTTCCACCCTTAGTTCTCCTGCTTTCTCGATGTTTTTTTGCACCACATTCTTAGTTAAACTCTAGAGACTGCTGTGTGTGAAAAAGTGATTTAGATCACACCCCCCCCACTCTGGATGAAGCTCTTGATCCACATGATGCAGAACTGAGCAGATGTACATGTGCTTCTAATCAAGTGGCCGGTAAATGTATATCTGTCATCCTATCTATCCACCATGTTCTCTTTCTACCTTTGAAATTTTACATTTTCAGCTACCCAAAATGTAGTCGATCAGCCAATACATGTTTGGTGTCTAAAGTTTTAAAAATTAATTAAATATTATGATGTTTTTCCATCTCTGATCTTTATTCCTCCCTTCTCCCTCCTCTTACCTTCCTCCAGGTCATTCCTGGCTGCAGCCTCCAGCAAGGTGATGTTGTTGGGGAAGGTCACCTTCTTGCCACTGTCCTTCTTACTCTTTTTCTCCCTGTCGCTCTTCTGCGAAGCTTTTCCTGCTCTGGCGTTTTCTTTCTCCATCTGAGCCCAGCCTTTGAGCTGCTGGGCCCGGCGCTTCTGCGCATGCTTTCAGACGCTCTGTGGCAGACAGCCGCCCGACAGTGGTCATTTCTGCAAGAAGCTCTGCATGCTCTGCCATTTCCTCAAACTCACCACTCCCACCACCCTCTTCACACTAGCTTCAAATGCCGGTACAGCTTTGGGTTTGATAAGCTTGCTCAAGTTAAGGAAGACATTCCTCGGTTTAGCTCACCTTGTCTCAGCAGTCAGATTAAAATCAAGGCAGTGGCAGGCAAGTGATGACGGTGCAAGTTCAGCAGTTCAGACAAAAGACATCAACTTGAAATCAATAAACCCGCCCGAAGTAAATGAGTTGTTGAAGTAAGGAAGTAGGTGGTGAACGAAGCCAAAGGAAGGGCACTCCAGGTGCATCAAAGCAAAAGTCTGCTCCATGCAGTAGACCCAGCTGGGGTAGGCACAAAAGTTGAGGACTTTCTCAAACTATTCAGTGATATCCCAACACCAGAGGACCATTCCAGAGATATGTTTTGAGAAGAAGGTGATTGGATGCCTTCATGGTGATGGTGTGAACCTTCAACAGTGCTTTTCTCCCACCATCCTTATGGACACTAAAGGTAAAAAATAATAATAATAATAATTCAAATCAGAAGCACGAAAATGGTTCACTAGATTCTTATGATGAAACTGCTTCAGTCACAACGCAGTTATAATCCCAAAGCAGGTCCATTTCCACAGTCACTGAGGAATCCTCTGGAATCAAATCCATGATGGCACCACTCACTGTAGATGACCAACTTCAATGAGCTCCAGTGAAACTGACATACAGACTCTCAGATGTGTGTCAAAAAGAGACACCCCCAAAAAGACGATCATGTTAACAGGTGTGTAGAGCAATTCAGTCCAGCAAAAAGAGGCTCTAAAAATGCAGCATGAAGTTGGTGTTGGAACTGGGACACACAGGGAATTACAAGGAGTCTCAGGAACAGGAGCTGAAGCTGTTAATCTCCATTCCACCTTCCACATACAGCCAGCAACACTCTCTTCTAACCTGGAGCCAAGGACCTAAAGAGGTAGAGAAAAAAAGAAAAACAATACCGTTTAAAAACAGCACTAAGTTTGCATTATCTAACTGATAGTTATCTAGGTCAGTAGTTCTCAAACCGGTTCCCCAGGATCCCTAGACAGTCCACGTTTTTGCTCTATCCCAGGGGTGTCCAATCTTATCTGCAAAGGGCTGGTGTGGCTGCAGGTTTTCATTCTAAACCAGCTGAAACACATGATTCTATCTGTTTAATCAGTTGGTCTCAGTCTTCAAACAGCTGATCACGTGTGTGCTCTCCTGCTTTGTTGGAGTGAAAACCTGCAGCCACACCGACCCTTTGTTAGTAAGACTGGACACCCCTGCTCTATCCCAATGCATTGCAAGTTGGGTTAAAGCAAAAATGTGGACCATCTGGGGGTCCCTAAGGACCTGTTTGAGAAACAGTGATCTAGATAAATCAAAATTTACTTAAAAAATATATCAAAACTCCCTCTCACTCTAAATGTATTGTATAAGTCACAACATGTTTGGTATCTGAAGCCTGCTTCTTCTCTTTTGCACTGGAGCTATGAAGCTAAAGAAGCAATGCAAGCTTATATCCCACCAATGTGCAGTTGCCTAAGTATTGTCAAAAGTGGGCTCCCAAGTGGCACATCTCTATACGTGCTGCCCCTAGTATCAGGAGATCATGAGGTGGATCCCCGGTGATGCCACTGCCGGGAGTCCAAGACGGCGTGGCTCCAGTCTCTCTGGGTTGGCAGAGCGACCCTCCCTCTCTCTTAGGCTCATCAGCACAATGCTAGCTACCTTCTGTAACAGAAATGGCAGTCAGCTTTCTCCACCAAAAGCACTGAGCTGTCCAATGATGTCAAATAAGTAAAGATATAGTGGCTGACTTCACATCTCTCAGAGGAAGCATCGAACTGCCAATGACTAAATTGGAGAGAAAACTGATCAAAAATCACCCTCTCGCATCAAAAAAGGCTCAGATGTTTGGACAAACTAACACCCTGTCATGCAGTGTCAGAAACCACATTTTTGCAGTTTATTACTGCACTATATATATATATACACACACACACACACACACACACACACATACATATATTCGCACCGCATATCTATATTTTTTACCACTCTACCATCCTTCTGCACTTGTATATTACACTTATATGTAAATAATACTGTATTTTGCACTTCTGGTTAGTTGATAACTGCATTTCATTGGCTCTGTACCTGTGCTCTGCACAATGACAAAGTTGAATCTAATCTAATCTAATTACTTAACCCTTTGACATAGTCTGAAACAAGTGCATGTACTTAAGCTACTACTACTTGTTAGTTACATTTACCTCACAACCCCAAGGCAAAACTAAAGAAACAAACTTCAAACACCAAACACATATTTGCTGATTGAATATATGTGGGGTGGAAAGTGGAAAACTGCAAATTTGATGTTGGGCCAACTCATTACTTTAGTATTACTTCTGTATAACAGAACCAATATATGTTGGTGAAAACTCACAGCACAGAAAGTGTGGAATGACGAGAGTAAGGCAATAGCACTATTGTGCAATCCTAAAACAGAAAGCTGAAGTAGTAATCATTCCTACTCTGCTACGAGTAGTAACTTGAGCATGGACTGGCTTTCATTAATGATTGACAGTCCGTGTAGCACCTCTGCACCTACAACGTATCACAATTAGGGAGTGTAGCTTCTCATGGCTAATACCCCTTACTCACAAGCCTTTATCCTCGGTATGTGTGTTTGCACTGGTTCATATTTCTGCTTCACTGACTGCACCAACTACTCTTTCCGTCATCAGCTTACTGGAGCCTATTCTCAAACATCTTCCTAATTTCGAGCTTCTTCAGTTTCTTTCTCACTCACTCTCTCTCTCTTTCTCTCTCCCTCACTCACTCATTCTCTCTCTCTATCAAGATGGATCTCACGTTAGACGGCACTCTCCAGGCATCGCATGCATTATTAAGCAGCAGTGAGAGCCGAAGGAAGGTCAGCTAGACGCCCGAATCACTAGATCTATGACAATGTATTAGGGCTGCACAATATATTGTTTGTTAATGATTATCATGATATCAGCCAGAAGGCTAAAATATGCCATACCATAACAATTGTGTGTAGGGCTGTCATGATTATGCAATGATTAGTTGCCAATTTGCATGATTAAGGAATATTTTAAATTCTCCTCAGTCAGAAAAAAACCCTGATGCACACACACTTTTACTATGGAGTGTTTTTTATACAGTACTGTGCAAAAAGTCTTGGGCCACCTAAGCAAACTGTTTAAAAGCATTTGGCAGTATAGAATATACCACTATATATTACCAGAATAAATACAAAGAAACATTGTTTTCCAAAGTTTGTTTATATTTTATGAGTTAGTGACAATAAGATGAGTTTAGTTCCAGATTTCGCCCCAAGCCATCGCATTAATTAAAATCCACCACCAGCAAACCTGATTTAATTTAATAATTGGATTGATTGGACAAACCAGGTAATGGATGATACCAAAGTAACACTGCACTTCTTCAAAGAGAGTATACTAAAACAATGACATACATGAAAGCATTATTATATTAATATTATTTGTATTTATTTTAATAAATGTTTTTTTCTGAACACGTAAAAGCGTACTGTCCAAATAAATAGCTTTTTACACATATTTTTCCCCAGTTACCTAAAACTTTGGCCCAGTACCTTTTGCATTATTTCTTTCTATAGGCTTCCTAGTTTATCTTTCTCCCATAAAGAACTGTGGAATCTTTGAAAGGCAATGCAAAGTAAGCTACAGCTCAGTTAAGTCGGATACAAAATTGTTGGATACAAAATACCAGCAGATTATCCAGCTGCATGTTTGATTAAAAAAAAAACGCAATCAGTCCTGTTTTTATTGGATTTAGTGCAGTGTGTGAAATGTTGACTACAGGAAACTGGATTCATAGTTTAGACAGTATTTTTAAAATGTGGTCCTACTAAGTCTGTTTTTTTTTTTCTTTGTTTATTCCAAAGCATGCATGCCTTCTCTAAATAGCCATATGCTAGCCATAAACAAGCCATATGTATATGGCTATTCAAATAAGGCACGTATGCTTTGGAACAAACAAAGAAAAAAAAACAAAGTTGAGATTAGCAACTTTCACTAGCATGAACATATGGACAAAGCTTCTGTTTGCCAGGATACAGTGACACATTCACACTGACTGCAAGTCTACTGTGCAGTGTAACGCAGGGTGACCTCCTAGAACCCATGTGTCAAACACAAGGCCGAGGGGCCAGATCAGGCCCGCCACACAATCCTATCCAGCCTGCAAAAGTATTTTAATTTTCTATTAAAATCCGCCCGTTTCACTGTGTGTTGCACTACAGTTCCCAGCATGCACTGCAACGTAATGTGCTCCAACTCTCCTACCCCAACAACAGTCTATCGGACAGCGGTTACACCTCAATTCTACACAATTCTGTGTATGCATATCACCAAAAAACTTCTTTTCCTCTGGCCCACAGATGAAATTTTCTAATATGGCCCTTTTACTAGTTGACACCTCTGTCTTAGGATGAACTGTTCTAGGTGAGACTCCCCCACACAGTAAGGATTTACTCAGGACAGACATGGAAAACTTACATGTACACTAGAACTGTATATAATGTACAATGTTGATTTTGTCTTTGAGATCTAAGCATTGAGTCTGTTTTCTCCTCTTGACTCAGTAATGCTACTTCTATTAATATTAACAAAGTTATCATACATAGTGTAGGTTACTTTATTTTTGGTGAATTTGAAAAAAAAATGTACTCAGTTTTCTTTAAATGTGCATTACTGTTTTGCTAGTGCATATTGTCTGTCACAACTTTAGAAATGCTAAATATCGTGATGCTTACTGTGAAACGTAAAACTGCCTTCAAGCACTGTGATAGTTTTTTATGATGACGTTTTGCCATATCACTAACCCTCAGTGCATAACTGCCTTTTCACAACTGTTGAAAATGGCCCAGCCTATCAGCGACAAGAAATTAACTAATGTTTATTGAAGACACTCCCTTCTTCTTTCCCCTCACTGTCTCAATCAAACTCTTTCTCCATCAAACAGTGGACCTTTTCAAGTCCTAAATGCCAAAAAAAGAAAAGCTCACACACCCATGAACATAAACATTCAGCAAACACAGGCCTAAAGCTACATCTAAAGAAAGTCTACATGGGCAAACATGCAGTATTGGAAAAGCCAAACTCCATGGACACAGTTTTTCCACTGGACATAGCGGAATGGCACAGTACAGTCATTAACTTTCCACGTACCCCAGATGTAGTCAATCGGACAGGACATGTTTGGAGTCCAAATTTTGCTTCGTTAGTTTAGATTTGGAGCTACAAGGCTAGCACTGCTAGCAAACACTCAAAAAATGCAATAATCACCCAGATATTTTCTCTAAAAAACATCACCAAAACATTTCTCAACCCGCATCCAGATCTTAAGGTCAGGAATCAGAGCAGGTATTCACACATATTGTCACAAATACTGATTCTAGATCAGCACTCCTACTCCTGAGGTGAAACTCCTACTCCTGAGGTAGTTTGTGAATACAGACCCTGCTGTCTGAAGGGGCTGTTTGTTTTTATAGCTCACAGTAAATTGTACTGTGTCCTAAACCACACTGACAGGTCTGTGTGACATTAATGAAGACCTGGATGCAGTTTGAGTGGGTTGAAAGAAGTTTAGATGATGTTTTTTTTCCCCCAGAAACTATTTCAGCTACTGAATTCTGGTGTCAGCAATGTTAGACTTCAACAATGCACTTCAACAATGGCTTTGCCAACTGACTACATTTGGATTAATAGGAAAATTGTTCAGTAGCAACAATGGAGAAGCCTGAAGTTCTGATTCCCCTTTCATGCCATTTTTGGTTTTATGTGAAGAGTCACAAGCAGTGTGAAGTGATTCAGCCTAGATAGTGTTTTTTTAGGTGGCTGACAGGGACGATGCATAGCTAACAATTCTGTGC